GTGGCTGCGCGTCCCTCACGCGCCAGGAACGGCGGCTGCAAGGACACAGGCGGTGACGCGCACAGCCCGTGGCGGGCAGGGCCGCTCGGGGACCCCAATTCAGGTGCTGAACCCCCCACAGTGGGTCCCCCAGCTCACCCCTCGAACCCCTGTGAAACTCTAACTTTGCAGCCGGCGGGCTGCAAACAGAGCCTGTTACTTTATTCTTAAACCTGCAGGCTGAACGACCAAACCACATGGCCGCTAAGCTGTTTTATCACAAGTAGGGTGTCCTATGGGTGAGGGCACTCCCCAGCGTGCTTCCCGAGCAGCGTTAAGACCTCGGTGCCAGAAAAGCTTTGCTGACCTGGCTCATCCCCGCCGCAACTGCCTGGCACCAGGTACGGGCTTTGGGAAAATGTGAGAACGTCCTCCAGAGAGGGTCACGGATCCAACACCAGCATCTTATCCCAGAGGAAGGCAGAACAGAGCAGAAAACCTGTCGCACACCCATGAGCTGTCCCCAAGGCCCTGCTGCCAGCAGTCCGGGTTACGTCCTGGGCACTGGGGCCTCATCCAAGAGTGGGCAGCCCAGCAACCTCCTCACACAAATAATCAGCAGCAGCACCGTTTGCGCAGTGAATACAAACACCGTAATAGCTGTAATAACACAACTTGTGGCTACAGGCAGCAACTCCTCTGCAACACTGCCACCAAACGTCACCCGTGCAATACTGCAAACCCCAACGCTCTGCAAGAACTGCCATCCCAGTTGGTGCCATCGTTTGAAAAAACAAATAAAAGCCATCAGGAGAGTCTGAAGGAGCCAGTCAAGCCCTTTGCAAGCCTCCTCGCTTCCCCTCAGACCCCATTCGCAACCAACTTCCCCAAAATTCACAATCTCGCTGAAAGCCACCAGGCAACAAGTTTGTCAAGAGTCCAGCATCCAACTGGATCAAAACAACATCACACCAAAACCCAAGAGGAGACAGAGAAGTTTAGTCCCTGAAGCTGCACGTGGAGCACCATCTGCGAGAGCTAGTCAATATTTCACATTATTTAGACAGCCGGGATCTCTTTCGCATACATGTTTGCATCCCGGCATATGTGCTTCACCGACGCGGTGCTCCGCACAGCTCCTGGCCTCGATCCAACGCCCGACAGCTCCAGCGGCATCACCCGCACACGCCAACCCCTCCAGAGGCAACACTGAGGGGAGCTGCTGTGCCCACAAAGTTCAACACAAGAGCTCATTCCCAGCAGGTAAAACTTGCTGTTTTATCTCGTGCAGGGTGCTCTGAAGGCACTGAACACGTACATGCACTCACACCTCTCCTTGTAACCTCAAAACCTCCACGTTGGAGCACTTCAAAACACCTTTTCTTATTCCAGGGCTCAAGAAAACGCTGGGTAGCACCCAGGAGCACCTATCCCGGCTTAGCCGTGGAGCAGCTTCGCTCCACAGCACGCTTGCCTCGGCTGCGCCACCTCC